TCAAGCTAGGAAGAAATAGCTGGCTGTCCAGTATTCCACTACTGGTTTTCCAATGGTTCTCTAACCGATGTCAGCTCATCTTGATGAAATCCTGTAACCAATCAATCAAACCCTTACAAACCAGTACTTGAATATGTATTAATTTCAATTTTCAGTGGTTATCAAGGTATTCAATTTTCTTACCCATTATTTTAGAAGAAAATAATTAAAAAGCATACATAATTGTCAAGAAATGTATCTAAATTAATCCTATAGTTCCCTACAGTTTTATAATGAACAGAAATGTTTTCAACTGTCAATGTTACTTATAATTAACCTTGTTTTATTAGTTGAAGGTCACATTGGTGCATTTTCACCAATCATTGGTCAGTAAATTAGCCTCACATACTGATTGGCTAAAACAAATTAACATGAAGTAAAAAGGTAAAATTTTATATTTAAAATGATTAAAGTTACAATTTATAAAAAAAATGTAACATTTTGATAAAAACACGCTATATTTCTTATCTTTCAAGTTTTTTTTAGTAACAAAGTAACAAATGAAATGTATTCATCACAACAGGTGGATAAAATAATAGTTCCCCATTTTTACGAGATTGAACGAGGATGAATGAATGGAAGACATGAAAAGATTAATTGTCTTTGATGATAGGTGCCTGCGTTCTTTCGCCCGTGTAAAGTGGTATAATAAGGTGAGTAATATTGAGGTAAGGCACTAGTCGCGTGCTAGGTAATGGGGAGAGGAAATCAATCGACGAAGTTGTGAAGTTACGAAGACTGAGATGGTTAGGACATGTGTTACATATGCATGCCTAGTCATCGCCTTCCTCGACAACTGGCAATGTTAGCGGATATAGCGTTAGGCTGGAAAAAAGCTAGCGGCGGTCAAACAAAAACATGGCCTCACCAGTCAATGAAATCTACAACAGTTAGTCTAAGCCACATATGAAGGTGTAGACTTCCTGACTGGTTGGGGTCCTCGGGACGGTAAAAAGCAATGGTTGGAAACAATTGGTGACATGGCTCAAAATCGTTCTCAGTGGTGCAGATGCATCCACTCCTCGTGACTTATGATCTCCACCAATGAAACTGTTTTGTTCTTCGTTATTACTCTTTCTTTGTCTCACACCTCTGTTTACTGTCTCTATAATGCTTTTCTTTTACTTTCTTCTCTTGCTTTGTGTGCTACAAGGAGGGAGTGTGGCGACTTGAACTGGTGCACATATGTGCAAAGTTCTATGTCGAAAACAGACAGACAGACGAGAATGAACTTGGGCAAAAACTGGAGCGAAATTTAGACCCCTATTCTATAGAAATTAAACAGAATAATAATGATAATTTTAACATATTATGCATGATAGCTGTTCACGTTAAAAGACTTATGTTGCACTTAGATAGATGTGTAGAAGTAATGTTGACAGTGAGTTCACTATGAGTACTTCACTGTATTTACACATTAATTGTACTCCACCCCGCAATAGGTGGTTGTCGTAACCCAGTAGCCTTGTAACGACAAAAGACAAAGGCTAGGCGACAGATCTTTTATTGAGAAAATCAATAGATATTTATAGATTTTTATGTACATTATTGTCGAGGGAGAAGCAACGCCTTCTGATTGGTTGCTTCTTGTTGAAAATTATTCTGTCATCTTTTAGTGGCCGTTTCCTAGACAGTTCAGTTTGCAAATCATATTTGCACACATTAAGTCTTCTGTGATTGGTTGTTGAGTTCCTCAAGGTTAGGCTTTGTTATTGTTTTTTCTCATGACCCCTATTGGGGACGTAAACATTGACGTAAATTGTTGTTTATAATTTTGTCTTTCAGACAGATCTGACCACAGCCTGATATCGCAGAGCTCAAGTCTCAGCGACGCGACAATCACTTACTGGGATATAGTTACATCCCACTAAGCGGTCTTAAATGTAAAGCAACTCAAATCCCAGTCCTGCCTTGGCATTGTCAAATGCCATCAATCACATAGTATAACTTGAGACAGACTTCATAATTCTGATTTCAAAGAGTTAAAAACTAAATCCTTCTAAAACAAAATCGTTAGTATCATTTGTGAATAATAGATGAATTTTCAAGTATTGGTTTTTTTGTAGGGATTTTGTTTGATTGCATGGAGGATTTAATCATGAGCTGACATCAGTTAGAGAACCACTGGAAAACGTGGGAGTACTGGACAGCTGTTTCGTCCTAGTTTGGGACTCCTCATCAGTACGCACCCACCGGGATTCGAACCCAGGACCTTCTGGTTACAAGGCGAGCTCGTAGACCATTGAGCCACTGGGACCCGATCCAATGGTCCTTGAATTCTAACTTCTGCCAGTTCACGACATAGCGCGACCACTTCGCAATGTCTTCTTCGATGAGTTACTGCCTCATCTTCGACCTGCTGTACATTACTGGTCACGGTGGGTGCGTACTGCTGAGGAGTCCCAAACTAGGACGAAACAGCTGTCCAGTACTCCCACGTTTTCCAGTGGTTCTCTAACTGATGTCAGCTCATGATTAAATCCTCCATGCAATAATAGATGAATCAATGCATGGTAGGAATAAGGTTCACAGTCTACCCTTGCCATTCATTTTCACTAATTCCATGAATTTAGTATATAGCTATGCCGAAGAATTAAGGACATGGATTGGACACACCTTGAGAAAAGCGTTGAGTAATACCAGGCGTGGAAATATAAGCCGAAGGGGAAACAACAGCTTGGGTATAGGTCTGAGGGTGTCATGAAAGAGATTGTGCGAGATAAATGATGAAGGCTTATAGGCAATTGTTGAGCCAGCTAAAATGGTCTACTGAGAACCAGGCAAAATGTTGATATGTTGTTGAAGCTCTGTGTGTTCCATTGGGAACCCAAAGAAAAAATGATGATTAAGTGAATAAACTAATATATGAAATATAAATATATATTACGTAATAACACCGTTAGTGACAGACACATCGATGATGATTTAGAAATACAACTGATTTGTGCGTTCGAAACTAATAACGATCACTAATTACTTCTGACCTCTAAAGACAGCGGAAGCGAAGATAGAAGATATGCTGGTCAGCGTCAATGAGAATAATTTAATATTATTTGCAGATACCGTGTACCTCGGAAAGTTAAGCCAACAAGTAACCAATTAGTTATATTGGTTATATAAGGTCAGGCTTCTAAACTGTGCAATAGCATTGCATTCCTAAACTTCGCCTAAGCTAACAGTAAGGCTGGTAAAGACCGAAGGCTAGGCATGAAGCTAACAATCCTACCCCCGTAAAAATGAGACAACTGCTACTGAAACGTCAAAGCTGAAGCTTCAGGCGCTTCTTTGGCAGTCATCAATCTATCGCAGATAATTATGATACCATCGACATGTCTCCAGCTATGTGTATTGGTTAACAGGTGTTAATCAGCCCTATATCTGTCCTCATTATCGTTATCCCCCTTGAATATCCTGTTGCCCAGAATTAAATTTGATGGTCACAGAATCCAAGTTGTGTGAAAAACGTACACCGGAACAAGCTAGATTCAGGAGGAACAAGTTGTCATGTATCGATCAAATAGCAGCACTACAGATCATCATTGAACAGAGTTTGGAATATCAGTCAACTCTCTCCACTTCATTCAACTTCATCGACTTTGAAAAGGCCTTCTACACCACAGCATCGATTGAGAAGTGATTTGTCAACTACTTCACCACTACCGGGTGCCGCCAACAATTATACACCTCATTCAATAACTGTACGGCAATGCTGCATGCCGAGTAATCCACGAAGGGAAACTTATAGAATCCTTCGAAGTGAAGACGGGTGTGAGACGAGCTGGCCGCCTACTATCGCCAATGATTTTCCTGATTGTGGTAGACTGGATAATGCGACAGACAGACAGACAGAAGAATGGGCAACGAAGAAACAGGCATGAAATGGACACACGAAAAAACTTGGAGGATCTGGACTTCGGCGATGTGATATTTGTCTGATTTCCCACAAATTGGAAGATATGCAGATGAAAAGCGACAAGTTGGCAGAAGAAGCATCCAGAGGAGACAGGACTTCAGGTGGACAGAGAGAAAACAGAGGTAGGTGATTAAGATTCGTGGCCGACAGCTACAGCAACCACAACAACAAACGATAATCGACATAAATGGGAGAAGTCTGAAAGTAGCAACCTTTTTACCACCTACCTACCTGGGAAGCATTGTTCCAACTACAGGCCAACAGAACTGATGAGGATATTAAAGCACGAAGATCAGGAAAGCAAGGCAAGTTTTCATTTCTCTCAAGTCTGTGTGGAGGTCAACAGCACTCAGCATCAAAAATTAGATCCGGATTTTCAACTTCAGTGTGAAGTCAGTGCTACTTGCTATACGGATCAGAGACTTGGCCAGCGCGTCATAAAGAGCATCTCAAACAAACTACAGACCTTCATCAACAGCTGTCACTGCTCATTACTACTGAATATCAGATGGCTGGCTAGGAAAGATCAGCAACAGGGATCTCTGGGAGCGAACCAACACAACAGGAACCGATTGTACAACAAATATGCAGGAAGAAATGTAGGTGGATTGGTCATACTCTGAGAAAACCATCAAGTGATATCACCAGACAGGCCCTCTAGTGGATCCTGAAATGGAATTGGTAACTTGGTCGTCATCGCAAGAGTGACATGAAGGAGGTGATTTGAAGGATGGATGAAAGGATGTGGACAGACGTGGAACCAGGTGAAAATGTTGTCAGAAAACCGAACGCAATGGAGATGTGCAGCTGAAGCCCTATGTTCCTCTAAGAATTAAAGGAAACAATAATAAAATCCAGTCAAGTAGAACCATGTTCACAACTATCATTACATTCAGAGATTACTGTTTCATAAAACTTATATAAACACAAAATAATATTTAATTTTCAGCTCTTGTTCTCAAACATTTTTCAAAACTTTAACATTTCTAAAAATGATTCATTCACTAGACAAATGTGAAAAAACACGTCTCCAAACGGGGGAAAAACACGTTTACTCTTGTCATCTTACGACAATAATCAAGATATCATGTCATAATAATTAAAAGTACATTCATATTGTAAAATTATATTATTTCCTTGAGTAAGTGTTTTTTTATGATATCATTTGAATATATTTTGCACCGATATTGTTTAAATGAGTTAAAATTGAATTTCGACCAGTGAACATTGAACAGTTTCGTTTCTTTTGTGATTCACCTTTGCCGCCCTTTTCTTCTTTTTTGTTTTAAATTATTCAAATTGACTTTGACAATGAGTTATTTTGTATAGAATCGCACCAATAATTGAACCTAAATATGGTGCTACAATTGGTATCCAAAAGTAATAATTATTCGCCTTGAAGGCATTTAGTCCCCAACCTATTTTATAATAGAATGAAGAGAAATCAGGAGTCAGTTGAGAAAGGAAATCGATAAAAGTGTAAATGAGGAGGGTTATTTAAAAAAGATATTTTGAGAGAATTAAAGTTTTGCATAGAGCAGGACCAATGGTTTGTAAAGATAAGATGGCACCTTTCTTTATTTCGTTAGCTTCTCGTCAATTCCATAACATTTACAGTAATGACACGATATATACAAGTTTACATGTATCTGTGGGAGCGGTTACATTGGGAGAATAGAAAGTAAGGCACGGTTTTGATTTTCTGAAGAAATGTATTCAACAGTCAGCGTCTCAAGGGAAAAAACGTTCACACTAGTGCCTTTGCTACACATCGCATTAATACGGGTCATGTAGTGGACATGGATTCCGCGGATGATTTATGTTTGATGTCTCTGTTACAAAATCAAAGACTTACAAGCGAAAACCGACAAACTGGTCGAAGAAGCAGCCGGCGAAGACAGAACTCCAGGTGAACATAGACAACCAGCAACAACAGCAACATCCAGCGTCAATCACCATCAACGAGAGGGATTTGAAAGAGGTTACTTCATTCATTTATCTAGGGAGCATTGTCTCAACTACAGGAAGTCGGAACGGACAAGGATGTCAAATCGAGAGAGAATCAGGAAGGCGAGAAACACATTCATCAATCTGAAACCAATCTGGAAATCTTCGTCACTCAGCCAGCATCAACAACAAAATTCGGTCAGATTTTCAATACAAACACCGTCAAGTCAGTCAGTTCTTCTATACAGATCGGAAACTTGGCAGGCAGGTCACAAAGAATATTTCCAACAGCCTGTTGCAGACATTTATCAACCAACAACTGTCTTCGTCGGCTCTATACTGAAAATCAGATGGCCGGGCCGGAAAGAATCACCAACAAGAAACTATGGCTCTGAACAAACAAAACAAGAACCAATCGCCAACCAACAAATATGCAGGAGAAAGTGGATTGAGATGGATTGGACACTCGCTGAGAAGGCCACTGGGTGACATCGCACGCGCGTCAGGCCATTGCTCGAGTGGAACCAGGCCGAAAGGGATGCGGCGAGTGGGACGTCAGTGCAACGGTGACATGGAGGAGATCGTGTGAAGAGGAGATGAAACAGTCTGGATTAACATAGATGCAGGTGAAAAGTACAGCAGAAGGAAGACAGAAGTGGCAAGTGGAGACGTGCAGTTGAAGCCCTATGCTCCACTAGGAACCCAAGGGAACAATAATAATAATAGTGTAGTGGACATCATGAAATCTTTCAAAAACATCAAGGGAGGAAATAGTTCAAATCTTCTCCTCGTTTGCCGACATAACCGTGAAATCCGATTTATATAATCAGAAACAAGTAATTTTCAGTCCCTTTTTTTTGCCATGAGAATTTGATGTTTTCGCTTTCGTTTTTTTCTGATTACGCAATTTTCAGCTATAACCTCTTTCTCTTCCTTTCGGTATATAATGTGATTTTGCCATGAACTCAACACATTGTTTTTTTATTGTTGTTCCCTTGGGTTCCAAATGGAACACAGGGCTTCAACAACACGTCTCCACTTTCTTCTATTTTCCGCTATCCTCTTCAGCTGGCTGGCTCCATGATTCTCTATAATCTATCACCTCTTCCTTTATGTAAACCTCAGATTGACGACCCATTCATCGCCTCCAGTCGGGATTCTACTCGAGCGATGGTCTGCATTGCACAAGATGCCATTCGACGGCCTCTTCAGCGTATGCCCGATCCTTCTTCATTTTTTCCTACATATTTATTGAGCGATCGGCTCTCGCCTGTTGGTTTGTTCTCAGCCAGCCAGCCAGCTAGAGTTTCTTGTAGTTAATTCACTTTGGCCTGCGAGCTGTCTATTTGGTCTTCAGTATGAAGGCAGCAAAGGCAGCTGTTGATGCTAGTCTGTAAATTGTTTGAAATCTTTTTTGTGGCTTATACACAGTGCAAGTTTCTCACCCGTATAGAAGGAGTGACTTGACACTGATCCTTCTGATCTTCAGCACACTGTTTTACAACTAACTAACTAACTAATTACCTATCATCGTATCTGTTTCCTATCTTTATTATGCAACTCCTATTCTATTGTGTGCTTTTTCAGTAATAATTATGTTTATTCTGGGCAATAATTATAAAATGTGCACAATTTTCAGAGGAGCTTATTACGTGATATTTTCCCTTCTTATTATATCTTCAAGTAAAATATATCAATTGACAGGTATTTGCTTCCTGTGACACAATGGTCTCTGAGCTGAAACACAAATCATTCCATTATGTGATAGATGTCTGCTATGTCTCCTTCAAAAAATCCACGATATCTAGCTGTGAAAGCCAATTGTAAGACATTCAGAAGTACATTTTGTGACTTAATGACATACATAACTGAAGAACGGTTATCTCATGTATTCATTGGAACACATTGCCACCCCCACAATCAGGCCATTCCTCAAGTTTAGTAGGAACTTGTGAATCACAAGCTTGTAAACATTTGAAATACACACAAGAGTAGATAATACCATCAGATGTGATATCTTAATAATAATAATAATAATAATAATAATAATAATTCGATTTATTCCAAAACAGTACTTGTGATACACAGAATGGAATTCTCAGCATTTCACTACAGTACTGCACCTCCAGTTTGTACATTAACAATGAATAAATATTCTACATAGATTATGAGGTAGTCTCTGTTAGATTTTGACAACAACATACTGGCGTGTCGGTATCAAAGCCAAAACTGAACGGAGTGTTTGAAGGTGTTAGAAAAGTAGATACTAGTATATTTATTGGCTTAAGCGGTAACAAAAACGTCGAGATATACAGAGTGTGAAAGAAGGAAGAAGAATGTTTTCAATAGAGTTTGTAAGGAAGAAAGAAACAAAGCTGCACATAACAGAGAAAAAAAGAGAGAGGAAAGGAAAGGAAAGAAAGAAAATCGTTGTACCTATAAATGATATGAGGAGTTGGAAAGACAAGATCCAGTTGTTCTACTGACTATTTAATAAGTTATAGGTATCACGCCTTATGCTTTCTTTATCGCACAGAACACGAGCTAAGTAGGGTATGGTTGAGTTTTTGTACTTACTAGTGCGAGCATATAGTTTTCCATATAGGCTTCTGGTTCTGCCTGATGAGATAGATACAAGGGGAGAGTTGTGAATGAAGAGGGTGGTGTGAGTTAGATAGATAGAATGGATTTAGCCCATTTTTCACATGAGTCCATGTGACTGTCGACCAGAATATTAACAAGCTGGTTAAATGTCACCCTGTGGCTTACCCTGCTGACAACCTTTAACATCCAGCGTAATAAGATATAGTCTTTCTTCAGTAGCCAGCCCTGGAAACACTAAAGGGGAACAATAGAGAATAATAGGCAGAGTACGGGAGTTAACAAATTGTAGGAGTAAGGGTTGGGCTACACCAGAATGTCTTAATTTCTTGATGTAGAAGGTAAAACGGAATATTTTCTTAGAAATCATCAAGATATGAGACGACCAGGAAAGATCGGCAGATAGAATGATGCCTAGGTATTTAATTTCAGACTTGGTTCCTATTTCAGTGCCATCCATCTATGCTGCACACCTCCTGAGTGCTAACCAGTTTGTTTAGGTCAGATTTGTGCATAAAGGTGAAATTAAATGTTTGGCATTTGGAGGGGTTTAAGGTAAGACCGTTTTCCTTGGACCATTGACTAATTTCTGATAAAAAGCCATTTAGTTTGGAGCAGTCACTTTGACATTTGACATTTAATCGATTAAAACAAACTGAATGACAGAAAATATCTACAATAGAGAGAGGGATGGTAGTTTTTGATAGCCCGGGTTTTAAGCAGACCGCCAAAAATTTCTGTGTGTCCAGACATCTATTAAATTTTTGTTTAAATTTGAATCTTATTTCTTTAAATTATATAAGTGTGTATTGGCGGCTTCCTTAAATTTGGGCTAGCGAAAAACCCCATGTATATTTTACAGATACTTTCTCACGTTTAGTTTGTTTAAATCTGATAAAGTATGACCTCTAACTACGCTTTATACTTTGGCGGGTATTTGATGTAGTCACGAATAGCTGATTCGCAAGTTTCTAGCTATCGTGAGAGAGAAAACATAATCGTGGGTTGGGGTGTATTGCAATGCCAAAGATAGCTGTTTATGGGTTGTGTCCTCGGTTCACAAAATGGATTCCTGAAACTTTTCGAATTGTCTTGCAACCAAATCACATGTATTTACCGAAGCAGAAGACAAAGGAGAGACATCATAATTTCTTGGTATGCTCTTCATGTCAGGCAGAAGTGTATCATTTGGTCTACGGTCGCGTGATACTTTATTTAAAGATCCTAGATGAGGCGGAAATATCGTGCGACTAACTTTGCTGAACATTTTGTGTGCTAGATAAATACTGTACAAAATAAAGCTGCCATTATTATTCTGGGCAATGCTTATTAAGTTTGAAGTCTTTGCTAACTGACTTTATGTCACCCTCACGCTCTGTATGCAGCTGACGAAAAGCCAACGAAATAAACGATGACACCATATTATCCTGCACAAACCTTTATCTTTGCTTTATTCAAATTTGTATTATATTATTATTATATCCTTTAATTCCTAGAGGAACATAGGGCTTCAGCTGCACGTCTCCATTGCGTTCGGTTTTCTGCCAACTTCTTCACCCCGCTCTAATTGTGCCCACATGCTTTCATCTCCTCTTCACATCAACTCCTCCAAGTCACCCTTCCATTGACGACCAACTCGCTGCTTCCCTTTCGGGTTCCACTCGTGCGATTGCCTGTCGTGTGATGTCACACACTTGATGGATTGTTTCCTAAATAAATGGCCACCAATCGACCTCCATTTCTGCCTGCATATTTGTTGCATAATTGGCTTCTGATTGGTTCATTTACATGGATCCCTGTAGCTCATCTTTTCTGGTTGGCGATCTGATCTTGAATACTAAGCGAAGATAACTATTAATGAAGCTCTGAA